AAAATAGAAGAGCTTGGAGGCTCCTCTGCAGACCCCTGCTTGCTACTGTCATCATATCAAAGCTGAGGTGACACCTTGCAGGTTCCTCTTTGTCTCTCTGGCTGAGAGCCTAAAATAGAGACAGCTTTTGTACTGAGTCACCTTCTGCTCCATGTCAAGCAGGGAAGCTCTTCCCTTTCTGAGGGAGGGAGACGTGAATCCACTTGACTGCTGCAGGTGATCCACATTGCCGTTTTACCCTATGGCATCCCCTAGTGGCTGTTCTAGAGACTTAACCCTGAAACAAAGCTGGCAGCCGAGGCAGAGCAATTCTGAGAGGAGGGCAAATAACAAATACTTTCTGAAAAAAAAATACAGTTTTTGTTTAAACCAAAAAACAACCAAAGATTGATGGGTAACTGCTGGATCATTATGCAGTTCCCTGTCAGAGCTACCATAGCACTCCGAGGATTCAAAAGAGCACCATTGGGTCCGTGTGCTGTTTATTTATGTCGCATAAAACAGTATTATGTTCAGCTGGAACTGAGAAACTGACAGGAGGCATGTCTTCAGATGGAAGTCTTTTGACTCTATAAATCCCCAGTGTCCCATCTGTCCCTGCCCTCTCCCTCTGTGTACATGAAGACTTTACCCATCTACCTCAACTGTGTGAGATGTTGTGTGGCAAAGATGTTCCTTAACCAAAGAATCCATCCTGTCAGGGTGTCTGTCTGTCTATCTTGTCTATCCATCCGTCTCTTCATGCCTTTTACTCCAAACCAAATGTGCTGGAATCAATCCATAACAGGAGCCAACTGAGGCCCCCATCCAGCCAAAGCTCAAGTCCAGTATGTTAGAGTATCCCATTGATCCACGCTGTGTATATAAATAAAATCATTCTCAAGACCAAAAAAAGGAGGTGACAATCCAAGCAAGGAGGATCTTGCTGTAATCAACGTTGCCTGTTCCTTGTTTTCCGAAAACTAGAATCATGAGACTTACTGTAACAAAAAAGCCGAAGAATCAAGCGCTCATCCCAAAATAATAAAAAAAGGTCAGAGGAGACAGAAGCTATTTTTCCACATTTGTAAGCCACCCCCCTCCCACCTGTTTTTTCCAAGATGTTTAGTGTAGTTGAAAAACTGTTTGATCCCACTGTTGTAAGTAGGAATTAATGAAATCCATACAAAAAGCTTTAAAAGGGGAAGAGCTGAGGGAAGTATTATATTTGAGTTTCCTCAGCTTGGACTCGCCCACCATGCTTTATCGTGCCATCTTTGTCCATGTGTTAGACTTACTAATGAATGTGGCTAACCAACCAAAGGCTTAAAAAAGATACACAACACTTTAAACGTCAATCATGGTGGGACATTTTGTATCAACAACTAAAGAAAATCCCTTTGAATACCTCATGTGAAAATTGTTTGTTGTGATGTTGCACTAAAAAAATAAAAATGACTCATTTGTAACCCAACACTGTACTCTGTTGACTTTATTGTGACCTTGGCTAGCAGGGGATCTCTTTGGATTTTTAAAGGCCAAGACTGGCGCTGGTATTTTTTATTTTTTTCTTAATGCTGTTATCCAATACTAAACTGTACTCTTAAATTGGATTATTTTAGTCAAACAAAAATGCATAATCACCCTTATGAACTGGTATTCCCCTTCGAAGTTATTTATTAGCATGACTAATACAATTTAATTTGTGTCTTAATGAATCCATATAAATTTCCCCCCCCCCCCCCCCCCATTTAGTTCAGGTACATTGATCATAACCTTTATCCAATTTCCCCAAAATTCAGCATCACATATTTGGTATTTGTGGAAGGTTACAGATGTCAACTACAATTTAAATTATGTTTTATGGGATAAAACAAAACTTGTCCACACAACAAGGGTTTCTGCTGACATATAAATTAGCACAATTTTAATGATTCTGGTTTTCACCAGTTTTATTGTTTTCATCTAGAATACTTAAAATTTTGTACACTAAAAATCTTCCCATCAAAATCAGTATTAGTGGCATTCCTTGTTTAACCAGTGTGTTTTTAATGTAGTTGTTCAATATTTTCTTGCTGATAACGTCTGTACATCAATTTACAGCCAGCAGCCAGTTAGCTTAGCTTGTCATCATTTTTATATTTTGATTTTTGTATGAATTAAACTAAAGTTATCTCAGATAGAGCTTTCAGTTTTCCTACTTCAAGTCTTCATGCTAAGCTAACTAGCGCTTGGCTGTAGCTTCATATTTGCCAGTATAGTAATAGTTGATAGTAATAGCCGTCTTCCCCTCCCTCTGCTGTTTAACTGTTTCTCTAAAGAACTCTATTGACCTTTTGATAAAGTATAAAGTACCTTCATGTTTGATGATAGGGTCAGGAGAAAATAAAAACAGCTTTTCTTCTTATGTAAGAATGTTACTTGCCTTCAGGCAGCTAGTCTATGGTATGCTCTCACATCAGCATGTGCACAGCACAGGATAGAGATATTTACCAGAGACATGGGTACTGATTTTGGCGTTCCCTCTGTCATAACGTGTAAAAGCTAAATTGACCAACAAACCAATTTCCCAACGACTCAATGGAATCCTTTCAGGCACACCTGCAGCTGGTGGTGTAAAATCAAACCTTCACCTCCTTCACATCTAAGGCACAGAGGCAGATCTGATATTTACTGAAAGGCTGATGTTGGACTGATCAGTAAACAGATATATTTACCTCAGCCTTCTGTGTATCACTATGACTGCGTCTCAGAGAGGAACACAGCTGTCTCTTTATTACAAATTCAAAAAACACACACGTACAGTCAGACAAATGCACACACTTTGATAAAACAAAAAGTTCAGTGACCACGCGCCGACAATAAACCGATTCATTCAAGATATGTTTACAAAAATACTCCCCCAAAATGCTGTTGTAAAACCTTAGTATTTAAAGACTTGGAATTTGTGACTTGTGTAGTAAGAAGTTAAAATTAATATAAAAACTGTAAAAATACACATTAAGAAAAAGACAGTTTTTTTTTTTTTTACAGATTCAGTTCAGTTCCATCTGCAGCTACATTATGGGATAGCAAGGCCACAGAGCGATGCCACACTGGTCCTTCTTGTTGCGTGCCATCCGAATGTAACCCTGGTCTCCGAAAGATGTTCCCCAGCTGGACAAGGAGAGCAGAAAAACACTGCTCATTTAAAATTCAGTACTTATAGCTGCCTTTCCCTGTGGCCATATGAAGTGAAGGTGGTGGGTGATGGAAGTTAAAAATCACTGTGCAGTGGATGAATATGTGGTTGTTCCAAAAATAAACTTGGCTAAATACATTAAGATGGCTCAGTGAGTAAATCTACAGGATTTTGGCGGCCCATTTTCAGTAGATAATGCTCATCACCTTTCACTCAGTACTGTATGTTAATTGTTAATATAAAAAAAAGCTAAGAATTGGGGGCATCCTGATAGCCAAATGGTTAATGCAAATACCACATAACTGCTGTGACAATAGCAGCCTGGTGGTTCCAAACTTATTTCATTTCACAGTTACTGAGGCCACTGTGCTCCTGGAAACACTTGAAGCTTTTGAAGTGGTTTAATATGTTTACACTGATCTATTATAATGGTCTAAATATAGAGAGTTCGCCGAACTTTGGGCTTGGATTGTGTACTGACATACACTGTGAGCTGTGGCATGTGCCTTTCTAAACTCTGTTCAGTCAGTCCAGTTTGCCACAGGTGGACTCAAATCAAGTAGCAGACATACTGTAGCTCAAGGATAATTAAAGTAAACAGGATGCACCTGACCACAATCTGGAGCCACAGCACAGGATCTGAATACTTTTGTACATGGGAGATTTCAGTTTTATTCTTTGTTGACTGTAAATGCCAAAGAATTTCTCCATTAAAGCACATAGTGAAGGGGTTTGAATACATACTGAAGCCATGTAACAAGTCATAACATTATAGAAAATGGAAGTTTCACATCTCCTTTGTCCTCCAGGACAGCAAGAACACACCATACAGAGGAACAGATGGGGCAATAACATACAGGAGCTGTACATACACTGAGTATGTCAGTAGTGAATGTTTGGAAGAGGTGGGAGTTCAGGGGAGAATCAAGAAGGGAAAACACCTCACCTGTTCTTCACCAGCCAGTAGTCCTGACCATCGAGGGTGCCGTAGCCCACAGCCAGCACGCCGTGGTTTACCATCTGGCTGCAGCTCGAGTCATCATACACTCCTGAAACAAAAGGGGTTAAAATGATTAATCATATTCATGAATTATTATTTAAAAAACACACACACACACACACACACACACACACACACACACATTTCAGACAAGAACTATTAATCTCCGCAGGTTGTCATCTTAGTATGGAGCTCAATATTATAAATAATGTGGAATAAATAATGACATAAACAATATAGAAATAAAAAATGATTAAATAATTTCAGAAGTTATTAAAACTATTTGTTAATTAAAAAGGTTGTTCTTATTTTTATAATATAGTTTTATAGGTCTTTGTAATTGATACTTGTTTTATTTTAAAACACTTTTAGAAGCTGATAATGTGTAACCCACCGCTTCTATAGAAAGAGAATGTTGGCCGTGTGGCATCAATCGCCACTGAAATAGGTCCTATGGTGGCGATCGCCTCCTTCAGAGCCCCCTCATCTCCGGCAGGGAGAAAGCTGTAACTGGAGCAATTGGCAGCACGGTACGTGGGGTTGTATTTGCACTGTTGCTCCTGAATAAGAGGAAAACTGGGTTTAAGCTCAGGATTTCCACAGAATCTGTATGCGATATACCTGAGCTGCTGTAGTGGCAATAACACCAGATGGTGTTTAATAACAGTTCCATAAATTGGCTCCTTCTTTCCAACATGCTATACATAGTCTGAAACACAAGCGAACTGTGTGACTACTAAGGACCCCTCTGCCACCAGGGCCCCACCAATCAAACTGTCCATCAGATGGTTTTGAGGATATTTCAGTGTTTTCAGATAAACAGACTGACCGACACTGCCATCCCTAAAGTCATGCCAAAAATGCACATTTTTTCTTAGCGTGTGATTCTTAAATTTTCCAGCTCTTGGCAGGTGAGTCAGAAAGTGAATGTCAGACCCAAATGATAGTGTCTGTGCTCATTAGGAGAATGTTTCACATCACAAATACAAGTTTTTATTTATTTTTTGGCTGAACTAGAGCCACGACACCTCCGCGAGTCTGTAACAGTCGCTCAGAAATGCCCTCCTCCTCCTCACAAGCAACGGCGAACCAGATGAAGCCTGGAGGACAAACACTTTGTCTGCTTTGATTAATTTCTTGTTGTTCCAAAGAGACAATAACAGCAGACCACAGACAAGTTAGAAGAGTGTTGCTGTCTACAGCCTGAAGGGTCTGACTTAACTTCTTGTACACCCACATTTTTGTCTCATACAGGAATTTGTTAACGGTAAACTTGAGTTTGTACTAGATTTCCACTTAAAAACAACACCATGTTTTAATTTGTTGCAGTTCTCTTGCCTCAGTTTCTTGTTTTATTTCTTGGGCTTGACTCCTGATTCTGCAAAGAAGCTTTCAGCAGAAGACAACAGCCACCCAGCTGGAGGGGAGGTGCTGACTTCCAGTTATCAGTTACCTACAATAGTCATATTTCATTTCCATATGCAAAGTTTAAACATAGGTCCTAAAGTAGAGTTTTTGTGCATGTGATGTGTGTTGCAGTTCACTCATGGGAAAGGCCCCTGACTTGCACTATCATATAATGTTTAGCTTGGTATGAGGACGGTGTAATTTAATGGTTGCAAGACTAAATATAAAAAAATTAAAGCTGCATTAACTAACTTCTCCTCAGGGAAAAGTGAGTCAAAACAAACTCAAGCTGTAACTCCTCCTCTTTGCCCTTCCTGCCCTGTCTAATTAAAGCTGCATTAACTAACTTCTCCTCAGGGAAAAGTGAGTCAAAACAAACTCAAGCTGTAACTCCTCCTCTTTGCCCTCAGGAAGGGCAAAGAGGAGGGAATATAGAGCCCATGGTTTTTGGTGGCATTGCAGCGACACAATGTCAAATAAAGAGGTTTACATTTTAACAATATGCATACATGCTGTATGTCTAACATTGTTTGTAGCAGATGTATCTGCAATAACACAAGCAAATTACACAGAGGAATTTTTTTCTTCCCAGTAAAACAGACATAGTATTAATGTGCTGGCCACTACTGCATCACATTCAGTGTTACATACTTGCTACATACTGTATAACCGTGAGTTGTATGTGAAACAAGAGAAATTTCATGTTAAGCTTTGATAGCTGAACAAACTCCCCACTCTTCTAGTTGTGCTGATGGTGCAAATTTTAACAACTTCTCACTAAAATGCTACATGGCCTGCAGTGTTATGTCCAACATAAACTGGACCAAAACCGAGCAAAAATACTTCATTTGCTAATCCAGGAAAACGTGCTGGTTTCCGGTAACTGGACAACAAAACACTAATGTTGCAGTCAGCTGGAATGAAAATTACAACCAGAATAATTCAATGCACAGGTACAAAACTGAAATGCTAACGTTAGCTTGCTAATGATGCCAACTTATACACATTAGCCAGCTACATTACTTGCACATCTAGCAGGAAGCAAGCCACAAATTTTAGTTGTTTGGATGCTTTTAGTGGTCTCCATCTCCGACGTGCCAAACCAGTGTTAACACTGGTTTTGCCTCGCTCATTGTTATACTCTTTCTGTGCTACAGAACACGGCCTGTTGGGTCTAACAGCTCTACTCCCATCCTGGGTTGTACCTGCACAGGGAGCCTCCATGGTCCATCTTTGAAATGAGCCATACTCTTTTGAAAAATGCATCTTATAACCTCGGATCAGTGTGTTGCAGATTTTAACCATAGTGGCCACAGAGGGCATGAAATAAACACAAGGCCTGAAGGTAGCAGAGTGGTGTGGGGTGGGGTGGGGGTTTGGTACAGCAGAGAGACAGCACTTCTAGACAATTTTTTACTTGACTTATCCAAATTTGTGCTAAATCTTAGTTAATACAGCTTTAAGTAAAATGAAATGGTAAACTGAGCCCATATTATTTAAATTCTTTGTGTTGTTGGAATGCCTCTGTCGCAGTCCATAAGTTGTTTCTCCTTCAGACGAGTACCTAGTTGACTCAGAAGAAGCAGAGATGTCTTACATTCTAACAAATGCATGGATTTGTCAGACACAGCTGCATAAAATATAAGGACTAACCTGCTGTTTATCTAAAATAATCTTCTTCAAGTTTTGCCCAGTTTCGATTGAAGTGATCAAATGGTGGCATAAACAAACTGCCTAGAGCCCAAGTTTAACAGTTCAAACAGCAACCAATGCATCTTGGACCAGCAGGATTCATCCACTTACTTACTTGTGCTATGTACGGGTATGACGCATCAGAGTCGATGCCTTGGTTGTCAATGACATACTGGAAGGATTTGTGCATGTAGCCTCCGTTGCAGCCCATGTTGCCATATTTATTTGAACAGTCCACCAGGTTTTGGGGGCTGAGGTCCACCAGATTCCCAGTTTTCTTGGCTAATTGGCCCTCCAGGGCACCTGCTGCACTGAAGGCCCAACAGGAACCGCAAGCACCCTGGATTTAAGTGAGTGGTGTTAGTGTAATGTCATGAACGCAGTGCAAGGAACAAATATTGCAGCACACTCTCAATATTTCTCTAAATGTCCCACTTTACTAGCCTCAGTGTGAGATTAAGCACCTTTCTACACAAGCAAATATCATATATA